TTTCACCCGCGCCATTCAAGCGATTATTGGATCCTGGCGGGAAATGCATGTATAAATCTGACTTGCAAGGCTTCGTATGAAGGGCAAGGAGACAAACCATGATCAATAGCTTCATTATGTCTGGTGTAACTGAAAGAAACAAACTTTAAAATTTTCAAACTGAAATTGAGTGAAGATTTTAAAGTATATTCTCGAGTAATGCAATAATCTTCACTGGGGAAGTGCAATTTACGCCATTGCAGAAAAAGACAATTTCAATTTTTCAAAATAAAATTTATTTCAGAATGAATGATGATTGACTTTTGACTATGTTCTTTCAGAACGCTGGAAATTTTGAAAATTGCTTTCGATAAGTGTATACCATAAAACTTAATTATGTGTAACATAGAAAGAAACTAAATTTAGGGTCGTGAATTGCTTAGAGAATATCTACCTCGATGTCCTATGTGGCGCACGAAGTAGCTGATTTTCGCCCTTTTCTCGATAGCGGCTTGTCTTCCGTGTGCCTTGATGGGGTGTAAAGTAAACAAGACATTTCATTCTTCTCATTTATCAAGAAACATCTGTGTTACGTTTCTACATTGAGATAAAATAAGTCCTTCATTCCTTACCTTATGTCTTTTTAAACTTACTGTTTTAAAAGTACTATAACATTTACTGAACTTAAAGGTCTAAGACTGATCCTTACTGTTTCGAACTCATGAGCAATCTGCCCAACTAACTCTCAAAGCATTGTTTTAAGAAAAACATTTAGAAAAGGCAATGTGTCTATTGGTTGCTGTTGACATTGTGAGCTCGCTGATTTATTGCGTTGGAGAAATGTCTTGGAGTATCTCATTAGCCAATCTATCAACTTTATTTGTTGGTGTGCGCAGTTAAATTTTCAAGACATTTTTCTAGTTATTCGTTTCGTCTAATGCTTCGGATGGTTTCTTAACGTCTACAATTTTTTTGCTTAGTGTGAAGCAATGTTTGAGCTTGTGCTTAAAGTGTCGTCTGCTTTTGCAGTGACAATTTCTACCGAAAGAAGTCAGGAACTGGCCAAGGCCTGGGATACCATACGTGGAAAGTAAATATACAAGGCGCGTGCTGTTGCTCATAGAAACTTTGCATTCTGAATTATATGTAAAGAAGTGTCTTTCGTGGAAATAATTGCACTGAAACGAATTAATTTCTACGTTGCTCATAGAAAGTTTGCATTCTGAATAATATGTAAAGAAAAGTGTCTTGCATGTGACATATTACACTGACACGAACTAATTTAAACTGATTGCAGGTTAATGTTATTACCTTTGTTGCATAAACAATTTGGGCTTCTCTATGATGAAATTATGCGTTGCAGCCCTGGCAACTCTTTCTCTGAGTAAAGTATTGGCTCCCGGAAATTTTTACAAGGAATGTTTCGTAATTGCCCTGGCTATGGCTTAGAGTGTCTTTAGCTCAAGTTATCACTTGAACTGAATTATATGTATAGAAAAGTGTCTTTAATTCGTGGAACTAATTGCACTGACACGAATTAATTTCTGTGTTGCTCATAGAAAGTTTGCATTCTGAATAATATGTAAAGAAAAATGTCTTTCGTGTGACATATGACACTGACACGAACTAATTGATTGCAGATGTTATTATGTTTGTTGCACCTTCGCATAGGTTTGCGTACGCAATTAATTCATTGCGTGCAGCACTTTTTTGCGCTACACATGCAGTAAGTGCGAAAATAAACTACTGGAATATAAAGCTGAGAGAGAGCTTTTGGGTGCCCTGTGCATCCCATGTTCTTTTTTCTTATGACTCGAGCTCTTCTTACGCGATTTCCTCTTCCCACCTCCGGCGATTTCAATAAACAATTTGAGTTTCTCTATGATGAAATTATGCGTTGCAGCCCTGGCAACTCTTTCTCTGAGCAAAGTATTGGCTCCCGGAAATTTTTGTAAGGAGTGTTTCCTAATTACCCTGGCTACTACTTAGAGTGTCTTTAGTTCAAGTCATCATTTATCTTTTACATCGAGTCCTAATTAATGGAGATCAGTGCAAAGTATCATTGCAGAATTTCCTAAATTGTTCATAACGCGTTTCTGTAATAATCAAGGGCGCAAATTAAATTTATTATGAAACGATCACAAAGGAAAACTCGCCAATAGATCCTGGTTCGCCCAAACAAATACATGTCATTACCAAGTAATCAAACTTCTTTACTCCAGGATTTGTAATTTGTATTTGCTTTTCTTTAAAAAAGATCGCAGAAAGTTTCACCGGGCTACTTAAGATGGCAATGCCAAAAACCAACAACGCCCATATTGTGAACTGGTTCATAGAATGTATGTAATACTGGATACTTAATTCGAATTATTCTAAAAGGGGATTAGTCAAAGGAGTTGGGATCATCGTTTGTGGTCTGATGTAAACTGATTTGATAAAAGCTTCTTTACACCAGAGATGAAAAAGACAGAATGAGACTCTTCGTAAATGCATGT